AAAAAAAAAAAAAAAAAAAAAAGTCATCAAAAACATATGAAAAATATATATGTTATGGAGAAAAATAAATTAAACAAGATTTGCCAGAGCATTGCATTCGAATTCCTTACCAAATTTGAAATAAAAATAAACTACAGAAAACAAATACTAATAATAAAAATAAATAAAAATAAAAAAAGAATTAACTTTAGTGAGTGCGCGAGCATGTTTTCGACACCGCCATCTTTGGTGATTTTTTTTTTTTTTTTGGCATAGCTAAATACCCTGAAAATTTACAGATGTGTACTTCACATAATACAAAACCTACTAAAACATTTTCAAAAAATAATAAAATTATTTATACCCCGAACTGAAGTGAAAACAAAAAGTAAAAAGTAAAAAAATATGTGGGCAAGCATGTTTTGACTCCGCCATCTTTGGCGATTTTGTATTCTATTTTGGCTTTGCCAAATAACTTGAAAATTTACAAGCATATACCTCACATAATAGAAAACTCACAAAACAAAATAAAAAAAAAACTAATTATTTTTAGGCCCCGAAATAATTTTTGGCGGGGGCCGAACGCCGTCGGGTTCGGACCCCGAACGCCCGTCCGTACGGAGGTCTGCTCGGGGACCTCCGTACGTACGGGCCGGTGACCCTGTATATATCTATCTATCTATATATACGGGGTTACCTGACCGAACGTTCGGGGGCCCCCGGGCTGGCCTCCGAACGTTCGGGCATTCGGGGTCCCGTTTGGGGGCCGAACACCTCCAGGTTCGGCCCCCACCAAATTTTTTTTCGGGGCCTAAAACTAAGTTTTTTTTTCTGAATTGTTTTTTGTGAGTTCTCTATGATGTAACCTACACGCCTGTTAATTTTGAAGCCATTCTGCTAAGCCAAAAAAACATTAAAAATCGTCAAAGATGGGGGTGTCAAAACGTGCTCGCCCACTCACTATTTTGTTTTTTTTTACTTTTAACTTTTTGTTTTTACTTTATTTCGGGGCCTAAACAATTTTATTATTTTTTGATTTTTTTTTTTTAATGAGTTATTGAATATGTACACTACATATCTGTAAATTTTCAGGGTATTTTTTAATGCAAAAAAATAATTAAGAATCAGCAATGATGGCGGTGTCGAAAAGGTGTTGGCATACTCACTCATTTTAATTCTCTTTTTATTTTTTCTTATTTTTTATCATAATGGTTATTTTCTGTATTTGATTTTTAATTCAAATTTGGTAAAGTATTTGGAAGTGTTGCCTAGGCAAATGGTGTTTAGTTTATTCTTCAGAATAACATATATTTTTTTTGTAATTGTTTGAAAACGATTTTTTTTTTTTTTTTTTTTTTTTTTTTGGGTCCGCGTTCGGGTTGAACGGTCGAACGCCTTCCGAAGGGGTCCCGTACGTTCGGGCGTTCGGCCCGTCCCGAACGCCGGTAAACCTATATATATACATATATATATAACGGCGGAACCCGAATGCCCAAACGCTCGAGATCCCTTGGGGATGTGGAAAGTCGTTCGGGCCGAACGCGAACAAAAAAAAAAAAAAAAAAAAAAAAAAAAACTCAAAATAATATGTAAAAGACATCAGTTATGCAGAAAGATAAAATAAGCAACATTTGCCTGAGCATTACATCCAAATTCCTTACCAAATATGAAGTAAAAATAAAATCAAGAAAATAATTTATAATAAGAAACATAAGAAAAAATAAAAAGAGAAATTCGTGAGTGAGCATGCCCGTTTCGACATCGCCATCCACGACGATTTTTCAATTTATTCTCTCTCTCTTTCTCTCTCTGTGATGCCGAGGGAACTTCCTCGACCGTGTGAGCTATGAGCAACATGTACAGACCACCGAACGTACCTCAACGCAGTGTATATAAATTAGAGAGAGAGAGAGAGAGAGAGAGAGAGAGAGAGAGAGAGAGAGAGAGAGAGAGAGAGAGAGAGAGAGAGGTCAGGGCGGTTGTAGGGCGGTTGTAGGGCGGTTGGGGGGGCTTTCGTTGGTGGGGGGGCGGGTTTGGACGGGGTTTGGTGGGGCCTGTTTTTCCAGCTGGTCCGATTTTGAGGGTGCATGGTGGTGGTAAGTGGGTGGCGCAAGAAAACGTGAAAAGGGTATCGGACGACGAGTGTTGTGGCTGTTAGACTCACAGCCTGTCGTTGTCACCGAAGCCTGAGGTAAAACAACGAGACGACACTCGTCGAAGTCGAACCTCGGATGCCATTGACGATTGCGACAAAATTCGTTTTATGGTTGTCCGTGTTCCGTAGGAAAGGCGAACGAGGAGGGCGAGGGCGGCGATCCACATTCAGACAGTCACAGAAA